TAAAAATGACGGGGACTTTGATTTAAATAAGTCGGGCCTGCAGGGAGATCATAAGTGACACGAGAAATGGACGTGTGTGGACTGTGGAGTTTGAACAATATTATTTTTGAATTTGATTAAATACATTTTTTTTGCCAGATTTTTTTTCCTAGAGAATTTGATTTAATACTTTTCTTCGATGGAGTTAATAATGTCTTGACATTTGTATTCTATTCATCACAATCCATGTCATACTAATATATGTCGCTAATTTATTGGAAAACTTAATGACGAATGCTCTGCTTGGATAGGAAGAAAAGTTGAGAAGAAAGAAAATGAGAGGAGAGAAAATAGAGGGAAGGAAAAACTAGAGAGAAGTTGTCATCATCCTTCTTGGTTGGATGGATGAGAGAAAATAGAGAGAAGAGAAAATTACCAAATATCAAAATGACTAAAATGTCCTTATCAAAATATATCATATTTAAAATTAAATTAAATTAAATATTGCAATAGAAAAATTATGCTAACATTAGCATCATCAAATAATTTAAAATCAAGTTATTTGATTTATATATATTCATATTATTATGTTTTAAAATCAAATTATTTAATAAAAAATTGTTTTAATATAAAAAATAAAAAGCGAATAACTTTGTAAATATAATAAAAGAAAATAAATATGAAGAGGAAGAGAGAGGAGGGGTAACCATGGAAATCTTGTTTTTCTTCCCAAATCTCTCTATATATGGAGAGAAAATTTGAAGAGAAAATGAGACATGGGGTCCATCTTATTTTCTCCTCTACTTTTCCTTCCTCCCACATTTTCTCCCCTATCCAAGCAAGAGAAAACTTGTTTCTCCCCATATTTTCCTCTCTAGTTTTCTTTCCTCCTCAATTTTCTCTCAATCCAAGCAAGGGGGAAGAGATAAGTAATTTGATATAAATATGTTGATATTTTTATAAACATATTAATCAACATTTGTATTGCATTTGATATTTTATTAATATCCTTATTTAATCATTTTTACTGTTAAAAATCGAATATCGAACAATTCAGATCATATTCTTGAGTATACCAGTACGTATCTTCCTATCTGTGAGATGGACTTTGTTATCAGAAGTTTGAATTTTTTTCCCATCATTAAATTTGTGTCTCATAATGGAAAAAAAGGGTAGTCGTTTCGCCATAATTAAACAGAAATGGAATGGAATAACTGTGAGCATTAACTTGGTGGTTCCTAAAATCAAGTAATAAAATTACAAAATTTACAAGATTTTTTCATTCCTGTTTCATATATATCTTTAATTTCTTAAATACTAAGATGCTACTTTTAAATGCATTATAAACTCGAATCGTGAACTCGTACGGAGCGGAATGTCTCCATTACATTTTGTCTCCACTTCATCTCCATTTAAATAAAACAACGACGTTTTGCAACTTTTCAGCAATCCAAGGTCTTTTATACATGCAGTGAAGCTATTTTGCTGCAGATAGGTCTGATGTTATTTTTTTTTTTTTAAAAAGATCATTGTCGTCACCCCGTGGTCCTCTGCGTCCTCGCCCAGATCTCATCATCATTTGGAGAGGTGAGATTCCACTCATGAGATATGATATTCAGATTCCTCCTTCTCACCTTCCCTTGTTTTCACTCTTCTGTTGTCACATCCGTTCTCTGCTCAATCCTCATCTAACAAAATCACTTCTCCAGGTTCAGGTGTGTTATTTGATGGCTTCAACCTTTAGAGTAGGAATCAGATCCTTTTGCAGCAAAATCGGGTCACTGCAAGGTTAAAATATCTCGGATTACTGGAAGGCTACAAAACGACATCGTTTTATTTAAATGGAGAGGAAGTGGAGACAACATGCAGTGGAGACATTCCTTGCCGGAACTCGTAAGAGTTTATTTTGATTAATAACTTATATTAAAAGTATATAATCAAATCATTAATATATAAAAAATGAGAACAATTTCATTTAAATATATTTTAGATTTAAATAATTAAAATTATATCTATCAATGTTCATAATTTATCATATTCAACAAATAAATTTCTATAAAAATCATATATAAAGTCACTAAACATAATCAAATTCAAACATTTAGCATGAGTTTAAGAGTGAGTTGACACGATTGTGTAAGCCAAAAACATAAAAACAGTAAACTCAGTAAATGAACTCATAAGTTTAATCGAGTTTACAGTTATCACAGGTTTAAGAACGAGTTGGCACGATTTTGTTAGGTGAAAACGTAAAAGCATTAAACTCGGAGAGTTAACTTGCGAGTTTGACAACGGTGTTGATCAATATAACACGTAGTATAATACAGGAGACTTGAGTTGCAAAATTGCAACAAGCAGACAATATGTTGCAGTGAGAGTCAGAATCCCACGGCCCCCTTTTATTTAATACAACTGACTGAAACAAAGCAGCTGATTATTAAACATCACTATATATGTATGTGTACATATATATATAGAGAGAGAGAGAGACATCACTTTAAATCCATAAGAAATAAGCATAACGACATTAATTAATCATAAACAAACATGAAATCCTGCCAATATTTATATGTATATATCTACTTTATAAACCATACATGTTCTTTTATGATTTAATGGGCATCCATATTCTCATAGATTGAACACATTTAATTATATACTCCTCTGGTCTTATTTATAGGGCAGAGAGAGAAGATAATTTTTGATCCTATTTATAGGGCACTGAGAGAAATTTTTTGTATAGATGTACAATTTTGTCCTCATTTATTATTGTGTTGACTTTGTTTACATGAGGCATAATATATATTAAATAGGGATAAAGTTGAAAAGTTACTAAATTTTAAATGAGAGTTAATGAAGTTTAAGGTTTTCCTTGGTCTGTATGAAATATGCTGGAAGTGCCTTATAAATAGGACCAAAAGAGTATGTATTAACATTAGATAAAACATGATACTACTATAACATATATATATATATATATATATGGTGAAAATTAATAAGTGGGGGGCTGAGCAGGAGGAGGGGGAGGGCAAAAGCAACGGCAGCATTCTCCTGGATATGGAGGAGGGGCACAACACACATGCAGGACAAATAATGGGCCCACCTGTATTAGTGCCTACACCACGAATTCACAATCGTAATTACCTCGATAATAATTCAGCCATATAAATAATTTTAATTAATGGCTAAATTACTTTTCTTAATCCTATAATAGGTTTGTGTTTAATTTAGTGTATATAGTTAACATTTTTTATTGGATCACCCGGATATTCTAAGCTTGCCTCTGTATAATTTGAGGGCTTATTGGCTTGACGGACACACATCAAGCCATTTATGAATCTTTAGCCCAGCTAGTTCAGGAACAAAAATTAAAAATGGAATGGAATATAAATTATGAAGGGGAGTCATAGTTCTTTACTTTGATTATTATACATATCTCAAGCAAGAGAAGATCAATTACATCGTGTTTGAAGCGAACTACGTACTTTGGCCCTGAAAAGATTTATTAGTCTATCAAAATGAGCTTTAACAAAATAAGGATCAATTATGCACCCCATGTTATATAAGAGATTCACAACGAAGATTATCGATTGAATTATATGGATGATCATTAATAGAGAATATTATATAAATATATAGATATTACACTAATTAATTAAGGAGGTGAGCAAGATTGGTTTATTACATGGGCGCTCTGGAATTTGAGCTTCACAGGGCAAAGTTGGAGCTAACACCATAGCAAATATGAAAAACTCACAAAAGAACACCAAGAATTGCTTTTGCTTATAGATAACAATAATAAGCAGATAAATTGTTTAATTAATTTTGTCGTGTCTTCTTTTTCAAAGAACATGATAAGAATATATGAATAAACATGAGGAAGCTAGCTTATTTACAGTGGTTTTTTCAGGTATGCATGGCTTGCTTGTGCCCGGATTTTTAATTTAGATGTTGTTGACATGTATGGCATAATTCAAAGATTTCAATATAAAATTAGGTATTTTTTTCGTAGTTAACAACTAACTCGGTTATAAGTTCTAACATTTGGCATTGACAAAACTTGTGGGGTAAATATACTTGAAATTTTAGTCTATCTAGATGTTCAGTTAATTAATATTTTGTGCAGGCATCACAATTTTATATATATCTTCAATATTGTCTTCTCATCTGATGTGGCCAGCATGAAAAAATGAGGTTTGAGATTGGCCTGTGCGTGTGTGTGTGATCTTAATGAGCAATCATTTTCTAGTTGAATCATTTTTATTACTCAATCAATTGCATCGATATTTCTTGTGGAATTTATCAATCTGAATCATGAACTACCATAATCATAATATGAACCATGTGTTTATGACATAATAAACATAAACTTCAAGATATGAGTTTCCTTTTTCCTGAAAAATTACATTCAGAGCAGATTTATGTAAATTTAGATTGTAATCTTGAAAAACTGATGAAAACAAATATGCCATTTTGCCTCGAAACTGAACTACACATCATTCTTTCCAAATTAAAAACATGTGTTGGATTAGAAACTAGCACTCAATGAAGCTCATTATCGTCACCTAAAATCAACAATCTAGGCTTGTATCTGTTCATTTGGTAAAATGTCAGATGTTTTCATGTCTCCGTCATTTAGAGGCGGATTGCTACTACTATGTAGATATATAGTTCAATTCACCTCCATAATGGAGGAGGGAGAAATGAAAAACGAACAAACTAATATCAGAGCATTTTGCAGAATATGATTATTCTATGAGGCCTTGTTTCCACTTCAAGACATGAGTTTTTCACCGAATTAAAAGAAGGAACAAATACAGAACTTCAGCATAAAGTGGTAACAATTTGGTGCAAAGTCATTCACAAATTTCTTCATCTCATGAACCAACCTAACCGTTGACAAACAGGCTTCCTAGAAAATACAGCAAAGAAACATGATTACTTGACTAAACAGAACAAATCTCTCTGGTTGGATCGGATTATTGGTTGGGAGAGACTGCTAGGCTCTGCAAATAATCCTTCTACCTAGCACATGGACCGGAGTTTGATTCAAGTGGAAAATAAGTGGTACTCAAAGCAGATCCAGAAGTTCCGCCGCTGTTACTTTCTGCATTTTGAAGGGACATTTCCAAGGCCAGACATTCCTTTAAATCAGCTACTACATGGCCTATATCAGCCCTTTGAATTGCAACTTGTGGAATGCAAGACATGGCTATCTCTAAAAATTTCCATGCTGAAGCATTATTGAACTTTCCCTCTAATCTTGGATCCATAATGGACTGGATGTCCCCACTCTCTAGTTTTGGAGCCACCCAATCAGATATGTGACTTTTGCTGCCGGGTGCTCTCATTACCGCTGGCCGACCACTCATAAGCTCAAGCAAAATTATCCCAAAACTATAAACATCGCTTTTCTTATTCAGGTTTCCACAGCTATGGAATCTGTAAATTTTTCAAGATGGAGTATCCATCAATAAATTTGCATTTTAATGTATTTGGCCGGAAAAAAATGTAATGCTAGATCTGTTCAAATGATGAGCATGCCATTCTCAATCTGTTCGACTAAACTTTGCTAAAAGTTGATCTATATAATGGAGAAATTTCTCTAAACCTTGTTTAGATTTTCAGCATCATAGAATCTATAAATTTTGCATGATTAATGAGCTATCGATGAAGTTAAGCTACGCATATTTTAGGCACAATCCCTGCTCCATCATCAGTTGCTGATTATCTTGAGTTGCACATGTGCGTGTGTAAAGCTAGAACAAATTTCTATCCTATTGAATTGCTCAGAAGTTAGTTAATTAAAGAGTTTTTGCATCAAGGAGTGATAAAATTTCAGAAATCAGAAAAGAAATACGTACTCAGGATCTAGATAACCTATTGTGCCAGCCGGACAAGTTGAATACTGAGCATTAGTAGTATCATCGAAAAAAACTCTGGATAATCCAAAGTCAGCAATCTTAGCTTGCATATTTTTGCTCAGCAAGATGTTGGAAGGTTTTAGGTCTCTATGAATTATGGCTGGCTTACAACCATTATGTAGATAGTCCAATCCTGCATTTTTAATTGAGCAGCAACATAATTTTTGAAGTTAAAATAAAGAAAAAATCATGAAGAACAATGGAAAAGAGTAAAAGCAAAAGAACATATGGATTGAAAATTTCAAAGAAGAGGGAAGAGGCTATTATTTTACACACCACATGCTGCATCCAGTGCTATCTGAAGTCTCTCATTCCATTTCAAAGCACATGGATTCCTGTCTGCAAAATATTTAGGTTGTACATAGAAAAATATTAACCACTCTACAAACTCAGTCATGATTTATCACTTATATAGTTACCATCCTTTCCTCTTCCTTTTTATTTTTCAATTCATTGCCTTGATATTTCTTAATCAGAGCAATAATGTCAAGACAAATCCGAAAACAACTTTTAACGAGACTTGTAATTAAGCTAGAGGAATAGGTATTGAGATATGATTGCAATTAACAAACCTGATAATTTCTGTCGGAGATTTCCTTCACTCATGTATTCATAAACTAGTGCTTTCGTCTCACCATCATTACAATAGCCAACAAGAGAAACCAAGTTCCTATGATGAACAACCATCAAAAGTTCTGCCTGCATTTCATGTCACCATCAAAAGTTCAATGTAAGGAAACATTCAAACCCAATGTCTATAATTAGTGACTTTTGCTTCTAACCTCTGACTGAAATTCCTTGAACCCTTGTTGTGATGATTTGGAGAGTAACTTGACTGCAACTTTTGTACCATCTTGTAGTGTGCCTAGGTACACTTTTCCAAACCCCCCTTCTCCAATAACATTCTCAAAGGAATTGGTAATACTAAGAACTTGCAAGTGATTAAATGCACGGTTTTTCGATTTTAGATTCCCATCATTTTGAAATGAAGTCGCTACAAAGGGAAGCGAAATTCCAATAGCATCATGTATTAATGATTATTGAACTTGGATTACTTTAGAAATAAACATATGTAATAACATGTTCAGACAACTTGAATTTCTCTCTTTTATAAAGCCATATATTAACTACTTTTATGAGATTAAATAAATCAGTTAAAAGTAGTTAAATGTTAGAATTTTTTTACAACTTTCCAAAGTTACAATTTGATTCTTTTAAATAATTCATTCCGGGGGATGGAAAATTCATTAATTTATGGGCAAAGGTGTAATTTTACTCCGATATTATTTCTTGAGTGCATCAAACACTCCAATCTTTTTAGTGATATAATTTTACCCATGATCTTTGATTGCACAAAAAAAAGGATTATAAGTAAAATTGCACAGAAAAAATCTTATAACTTTGTGCATATTTAATATAGGAGCATTTTTGTCAAAAATAATAAATGCGATAGACAACCAAGAAAATGGTCTTGTGAAAAATCCAAAATTGCCAAAAGGTTCTTACTATATCCAAAAATGGACGGAATAGCTGGGCAAGGACTTTCTTATAAATGAATGCGGTCAGAATTAATCCAAAATGATGGAAATTAAAGAAACGCGACAAGTAAATTAAATTAAAGCACGAAACTCGCAAAACAATAAATACTTCCAAAAATTCATAAAAGAAAAATGGATATAAAGAAGAGTGAGGGTGTAAGCTCACCTGGGATACCTTCCATATCTCTCTGTTTTTTTCTTTTATGTTTGCAAAGCTTCACATAAATGCAGATTACCATTACAAGGACAGCCACAGAGGCTACTACAGATGCAATAATTGGTATACCGGCCTTCTGTGTTTTGGTTTTGCAAGCACCTATTTGACATAGACTTGGATTTCCATCCAAACTAGGGGAAAAACAAAAGCATCTCAGTACATAACTGTGAGACGTATCATAGAAGATCATGAGTGGATTATGCGTCTAGCATAAGGCATTAACGCTGTTAATATCTTAAATTAAGACAAGTACTGGCATGTTTGAAACTAAAATACACTAAGCTAGTATGACGTGGGGAGAGAATAGAACAAATTTTCTGAATATTCTCGATCAAAACAGAAGAAGTGCCATTCTATTTATAGGTATGCAAACAATATAATACTACCTTCGGTCTTTAATATAAGAGCTAGTTGACTAATTTGAGAAGATTAAAAATTTTTTTGAAGTTAGTTATTTATAATAAATAGGTGCTATATTCCCTAGAATACCCTTACTAATCATACCTATTAGTTAAAACTACCATTTGATGAAATCTTTAACATATATAACTACTATAAGGATTACTTTTAAAAAAAATAGATAAATATAGAGACAAAGTGGATTGGGGTTATATTTAGAACAAAAATAAAAAGTTAAATTAGTTCTTATATTAAGAACCGGAGGTAGTATTAATGCAACTGATGTGCAGAGGAATGAATCGAGTGTTCTAATAAGCAATTAAACCTCAATATTAAAGAAGTGCCGTTCTTCTCCCTTAGAGCCTTTGGAATTGAACCGGTTAGCTTGTTCCCTGACAAATTACTGCTAACACATCACGTGAGAAAATCACAATATCTGTGGAACTAGAAAGTATTATTTCTATATATATGTGCGCGCACGCGCTAAAGCATTGCAACTCACAGTAGTTTCAAATTGGGTAGTTTAGATAAAATTTCAGGTATTTCTCCCGTCAATTGATTGTTAGACAAATCCCTATAACATGAGACATATTAATCAGATGAAATTATTACACGGGAGTTATTATGCGTTACTTGGATAATGAATGTGGACTTAAAAAAATTCAAGTCGGCATTACTTAAATACTTACAGGGACTCCAACGACATGAGATCGGAAAACGAAGTATTTATCTCTCCAGTCAAGTTGTTTGAGCTCAAGTTCCTGCTCGTATATATGCCACCAAGAACGTAAGTTTCACTATACATATTAAACACAAGCAAGAACGGAGAGATATTGGAAGTCACAACATATATATAAGGGAGAATTGCGGTGAGGTCCCAAAGAAAAAATAATCATTAAAAAGTCTCAATAACAACTGAACAGCTAAAACCAATTGTCATTTCCTATTCTGAAACTTATTATTACAAGTTGTTTACTCGTTATAGGACTTTTTTGTAAATATGTTTCTTCCATGGGTCCTTATTTCAATCCTCCCTATATATAAACTCCTTTACAGATCCTTGAACATTAATATTGACTGACGACAGGTAATTAATAACAAAAATGTTAGCAATATAGGTATGAAAATATATTATTTCCTTCCGATATCAAGTGTAACGAAATTTTAAAAGATCAAAAGACTACTCACAATGAAGTGACCATTGGAATGTTGTCAAGGTAATTACAAATCAGACCTTCCCAGCTAAAATTGCTCGGCGAGCAGGGATCTCCTTGCCAATTTCTGGTGATGTTATATGCATGTTTGACAATCCGCATAGCATCGACTATTATTTATGGTATGAGCAGCATTTCAGAGTTTTTCAAGCCATAAACATGGTGAGTTAATTAAAATCAAAGAGCCATGTGTCAGAACCTAATAATAATTCAAGTAAAAAAAGGAATTACAGATAAAGTTATTTTCGTTAGTTAAAAATCAGCAAGTTATTGAAAGCATGGGGGAGATGTTGAGAGAACTCTTAGTTAATCATAAAGATTTTATTAGGAAAAAAAAATCAGTTTCCAACTTATTGTGAAAATATGCTAAATACATACTACTCTGTTTCTATTTATATGCCACTTGTATCCTAAGCCCGAAAACAAAAAAATGCATTAAATAGATAATTTGTCCACAATTGCAGTTATTAAAAAAAAGATATCAAAAGTATGTTTTATGATTTCTCTCACATATTTACTTTATCTTTCTCTACATTTATTAAGTCAACAGGAGTAAAATTGATAAGAGCTCATTAATTACCCAACGCTTGACTTATATTTCGCAACAAATTTTTTTCCTTGCAAGTGACTTATAAATAGGAAGAGAGTAGCAGTTTTTTCTATTCCGCCTTATACAGCCCCTATGCTCCCAGCAACTTCTTTATGTTCATGTTTTAAAAATCTTAAACAAATTGGACCTAAATCTAGATGAAGAATGGCTTATTTGGGCCCTAGTTGATTTAAAACAAGATGACAGATAGTCTTAATTAAGAGTCGCCTAACATGGTCGCTCATTCTCAAGAGTCAAGAGTAATAAGTAAAAGCAGAATGATAAGATCTGAAAATACGTAATACTTGCCATCCCGTTCTAGAGTCGGAGAATTTGGTTGGAGCAGTACTTCATAGACCTCAAGAGCATTAATCATAGGGGGTAAACCAGAATCGAGGATGGATGTGATCGAAATGTTATTAAGATATTCCCCTCTAGGAATTGTCGTAACCACGGTTTTGAGCACCCCGTGTTGGAGAGTTATGTTCTCTCGGATCGTATCCGTGAAAGTAATTTCCATGCTTCTTTGACGAGAATGGTCCTCGAAGTCATAGAAATGAAGGCAAACATAGTAATCGTAACCTCTACTGTAATTCAATGGGATAACTAAGGAGGACGAACCGTTCCCTGATCGAATTGCAGTGCTCAGCACTTCCTTGGGTAATTTATAGTCTGAATTATCACCATCAATCGCAACCGATGTGTTCATTGGCTCCGAGTTTTGGATCACTCTACCGAGAAACCATGACCTGCCGTAGATATCATTTGGATATCTGCATTATCATTTGAAGAACAATACCATGCTTAATTTATGCAGCTTGAATAATATGAACAGATTAAACTAAGTGGTGAGTAACGAATTGATTGAAACAGTTCACCTGATAAAACTATAATTTTCTATAGACTTTCCCAGAGCAGAGCGTGTGCGGAGGCGTAGCGGCAACAAATTGGAAGTGGTTCGATATACAGCATTATTGTAGAGAGGCCAGATTTCGAGCAAAGAAAGGAAGGGTATTCCGAAGCCAGTATTGATAAGACACACGTTGATATTGTCTGTTGGAGAAACATGAATGACCTCCGATCTCAGAATGGTGTCAATGTCCATATCCTCACCTAATTTTCTCCAGAAATTGACGCCAAGATGCAACTCGAAGCGTGGAACAAAACTTTTGTTGTCATAATTTCCATACAAGAAGTAAGCTCTAACGAGATAGTTGTTTCTGCCTTGTTTGGGTTCGATCGTATAGCAATTCCTTTTCCCTTCTGGGAAACTTCTCAGAGTGTTTATCTGTTGCCAAACCTGCTCATATTTACTGGTAAGGGTGTCTTGAGAAGATACATTATATATTTGACCCGATTCCACCACATTTCCATCGTCTGCCTCATAACAAAACCCATTCTCGTCACAACTTGCATGGGTTACTCCGCAATCAATGCTTATCCCCTCTGCTAAATTGAAATGTTATGTGGGTAGTAATCAGGATTGAAGTATGTGATGTTTTAAAATGATTCTTCGAATATAAATATATACGGCTTGCAAAGAAATCATATGATGTACTACTGTTGTTACCAATGAATTTTCACTTTCTATACTTGACGATAGAGCACATATAGATATAGTGGAAAAAAGAAACATTTAAAGTGTTAAAAGGAAATTTATTAAATATATCTTTATAAATGATATTTATTGGTACTCCTTTTTTAAAAAATCAAAGAATTAAAAAATATTAATACCATTAAATTCATAATAAATGACATCACAAAATTAAATTATGCGAATGAATACCAGAAAATAAACAATGATAACAAAACATTTATTTTGAAATAGAAATTTCTCCCCCGTGCGATGTACAGATTTGCATATTTGATTAGATTTAAAATTATAATAAATTCCATTATCTACTATAGCTCAAGATTTGCTTTTTATAAGAGTATAATTTTTTATTAATTCAAATAGAACTTGAATTCGAGATGCGGAATTTAGGAGGAATAGATAAAAATTTAAATTTATTTATTTATTTCTCCATTTAAGTCTCCAATTAACATACTATTTAATTATGATGCTCCACATTTAATGTAATATATTCAAATCCCAATTAAGATATTATTCAAATTAAAAATTAATTATTAATTTCTTCATTTGAGCCTCCAATTAAAATTTTATTTATTTTTAATGTTTATTATTTAATTCAATATATTTAAATTTCAATCAATATGTTATTCAAATCTCATTAATTAAATATATTTGGATCCAATAATGTTATTCCCGACCCATTTCAAACGAATCGGTTATTATAAGTTTTTAAGAATATAATTGATGATAATTGATTGATTAGAACTTGTCATAAAACTAAAGAAAAAGTAGAGAAGAAGAGTAGAGAAATAGAGAGAAGATAATATAAGGGTATTTTTATCATTCCATTCAAGGCACTGAATACATGATATGTGCCCTGTATTTATAGGCATAGCTTTATATTTTTAACAGAATCTACAAATTACAAAATAATAAAAGATAATTATGAGATATAGAGATAATGAGATATATTAGAGATGATATGAGATAATGAGAGATACATAGAAATCCACATAAATATCATTATATTCATAATAGAACTTTCCATTATTACTAAAAAAACACTAGAATCTATCTTGATATAAAAACTATATTATAATAATTTTAATTTTATATCAAAAATCAATATACCCACCAAATTGATAAAATATAATATAAATTAAATACGGGGGTGTTAATATGCATTTAGGCGTTTCTCTATCTGGTCCTATCTTAACAACTTCTGGCCTTATCTTTGCCTTTTTAATATTTGTTTGGTATGTAAATAAAAAAATTATTTCCAAATGACACAGGTGTTTTTTAATAATTTAAGTTGGACCTTGAGAAATAAAGATTTACCGGTACCGTCTTATTATATATACTCATGAATTACAAAAAGCTTCACCTCGAAGGCTTAGAGAGTGCTTTGAGGGTATATAAAATAAAGGATCGATGAACAAGGCCAAAACAAGAGCGTAGAAGTAATTAAATGATGAAGAAATATGCTTCAAGTAAATAAACACCAATCACCAGTGTCTCGTCAAGTCAAGTTTCGTAAGGTGAGTTCAAACAGATCGAAAATGAAAAGCTGGCCAAGCGAGGAGTGACACAAACGCAATTACCTGAATTTCCAGCATCCACGGCTGCAACAGCGATGAGGAGTGAAACAAACGCATCCAAAGCCAGAATCCACAGTGGTGTGCTCTTCCTCATGTTTTCAAGTTTATATGATCAGTAATGAGGAAAAGAGAAATAATGAACTGACTGGGTAGCTTTTGAACTACTTGGCTGAAATTTTGAGTATAAATATTAGGAGCAATGAACTCGAACGTAGCAAGGATGATTGTGCAACCGGTTGACTCGGACTTTGGACCCGGTCGAAGATGAAAGGGACAAGAAGACGAGGAATAATTCAAGTCTTCCGCAAAAGCAAGTTGAATGGCCTCACGGTTCATCTTATATTACTCCTCCGGTCCTAATTATAAGACCCAATTGACTTATTTGAGGAGATTAAGGAAGTAAGTTAAGTTGGTTATTTATAATAAATAAGTGTTGTCATTCCTAAAATATCCTTGCTAATTAAGTATATTGGCTAAAACTATCATTATTAGAAGGATTATCTTGAAAAAAAATGCATAAATATAAGAGACAAAATGGATTGGGTTTTATAATTAGAACCAAATAAAAAGTCAAATTAGGTCTTATAATAAGGACCAGAGGAGTAACTTTTTCCACAGTGCGTAGCTAACACGCTTAGGCTTACCCTTCAAGTTTCTTTCATAAAGGTAGTGATGAGACGTTCTCTAAAGCCAACGAGTGGTCGAAGAAATTAATTAATTAGAAACCACGAATTAAAGGCGAGTCAGACCAAAGACTTTTCAACATATATAACTCAGATCCACACAAACCCATGGATCCAGTCATCCACTTGATACGATTGGATGACAAGTTGAGCCATATGGATATTCTAATTTCTCTGGTCCCCCATTATGACTGCACCGTTCAGCGCGCAGTGCCCATATTACAATCCATATAATGCAAGAATTTGTTAAACATGTATCATGATTATTATCTTGTATCTTTATCTGAACACCACTAAAGTTATTTGCGTAATTATATTTGACATGATTTGGTTTGAGGTGATTTTACTTTTATTACTTTTAACCAAATTCCCATACTTATTATTTCATTCATCATAATTATTTTAGAATAATCTTGTAGCAATTATTAGCATTATTTCTTTCATGGCAATTGGATTGAATATAATAGAGTTGACTTGATGATAGCCCTTAGTAAGTCTAGAGTTTGAACTAGTGAATGGAAAAACCATTTTGAAAAAGCTATCTTCTAAAAGCGTGTTTGGATGGCATGAGAAGTGCTTCTGAAAAGCATTCTGTAAATCGAGATAAACTCTTCTACATATTTATTTCGTATATCGTAAAATCACTTCTGAAACCATAATTTAATTTCCATCCAAACATCCCTTAAGTCTGTCTCATAAGACGTACAATTCGAACTCGACTTAAAAAGTGAAAACAGCCCAAGTTCCATAGATAAATACCGGTTAGTGCCTGATATGAGAGGTGGATATCGTGACCACGGCAAATTTATCATTTATCAACATGCCATAAACAGTAAAATAAATTACCAGAATCCTACATAATGAAAAGAATTTATCAAGATACTATATTTAAACTTGTTGAACGAGTTTAAAATTAAGAACTCGTTCTTAGCAAGAATAAGTTCACCGTGTCCCTTACTTCACTCCCACTCTGAGTCACATCATCTGATAACATCTGATTTTTTTTTTTTGGATAAAAAAGTGTAGTCGTTCACAGCTTGGACGACTTCACTGCCTTGGATGCCGTGCTTGGGGGTGAAGAGAGGAAAGAGAATGGAGACGGGAAGGAGAATGCAAGAATGAGAGAGATAGAGAAGGGGATGAGGGTTTTAGATTAGATTGCAGGGAGGTTGCTGAAATGCAGACTCATTATTTATAAAATACTCTTCGGGTCTTTAATATAATAGTTATTTAATTAATTTAATTTGATTAAAAAAGTTAGGTAAGTTAATTAATTATAAGAAATATGACATGTTTTTCCTAAAATACCATAATTATATTTTTTAATACTCCATCTTCCTCTTCTACTTGATTATAGTTGAGAGAATATCTATAGGAGTAATTTAAAAAAATTAATAAATATAAAAAATAGATCTCATATTTAGAGCTGAAACCAACCCAACAACTAGGTCCTATATTAAGAACCGGAGGAATACTCATTATTTATAAAATACACGCATATATATATACTTCAGAATTACAATAAAAACTAAAATTGATTTTGTAAAATGTTAAACTTAAGTTCTTCATACTAAGAGGCAAAATATATAAATCTGAATAATAATATTTCATAGATTTTGATAATCCTGGAGTGTTGGATTATTTATACGGTTAAACTCCTTAATATAAAAGTTAAATAACTAATTTGTGAATATAAAAAATTAGTTAAGTTAATTATTTGTAATAAATAGATGTTATCTTCTTAAAATATTCTTGTTATTTAAGTGAATTAATTAGAACTATTATTTGATAAAATTTTTAACATATGCAACTATTACAAGGACTATTTGAAAAAAAATAAAAAAAATATGAAAGACAAAGTAAATTGAAATCTTATATTTATGACTAAATTGAATATCAAATTAGTTCTTATATTAAAGACCGGATAGTAAGAAGTTTAAAATTTTGAACAACAAAATTAACTTTAAATTATTCAGATTTATTATTTATAAAAATATAATTAAAATATGAAAAAATAAATTTAAATTTATGCATTACCATGGTTTGTTGTTCCCATTTCATTGGCCCACGCACCCCACTTACTTGCATTTCATCATCCACGTGTTCCCTTCCTCAGCAACCAACCTCCTCTTACTTGCAATTTATTGTAATTCTGAATTTTATAAATAATAAATCTGCATTCCAGCACCTCCCCGCCTTTCCCCGTCTCCATTCTCTTTCCTCTCTTCACCTGCAACCACGGCGTCCAAGGCAGTGGAGTCGTTCAAGCTGTGAACTGCTTGACTTTTTTATTAAAAAAAAAATCAGGTGGCATCAGATGATGTGACTAAGAGTGAAGTAAAGGATGGAATAAACTCGTTTTTACTAAAAATGAGTTGTTTTTAATTTTAAACTCGTTCTCACTCTAAACAAGTTTAAGTATAGTATTTTGGTAAAAAAAATTTATTAGGTAGGATTCTGATAATTTATTTTACTGTTTATAGCATATTGATAAATTTGCCGATTCATGACCCACCAAAAAGTGAACATAATATAGAGTACTTTTATAAATTTGGTATATTGATTATTCTCATTTAATGAGATAAATTTGCAGGGAGTCAGTAGATGGGCTTCTCCACTAACAACATGATTGACCTCTAAATCCTCCACTCTTTTGCACTGTCATCTTTTTGCAGGAAGTTATAGAGCATTCAATACTTTATTTTAATTTAAAAAATTGTTTTTCCCTATATATTCAAGAGATAATATAATTTTTAAATTTATGATATTCAGCAGTGAAATGAGAACATAAATAATTTTTAAATAGTTTTACTGATTTAACTAACTTATATTAAAGATTTAATTATTTTTTTGAGTAATTAAAAGTGAAATCCCATGAAAAGAAGCTTGAAATTATTAAATCACAAATCAAATTTAGTTCTTACATTTTAATAGGTTTTGACAACACTTGATTTGTAACTAATAATACATTTTGGTTAAAGTATATGTTTAATCCTTTAGTTTTATATAATATTTCAATTTGATACATTAACTTAAAAATATATGCTTTTAGCTCTTTAATTCTAAAATTCTTAACAAAAAAATGATGAGACTGCAATCTTAAATATTAATAAAATATTCTCAAATGTTAACATATTAAGTTTAATTTTTAAAACAATTATAATTATTATAAAAAAATCATTTAAGCCTAACAATTTTAAAAAATAAAGGATCATATATTTTTAAAAGTTAAGAAAAAAACTTAAAATATTATATAAAATTAAAAATTAAAAAAATAAATACATACTTTGGGACCGCTGTGGGCCCCTTGTGAAATTTGTTGTCCATTGGGCCTAAGCCGCGTTATCAATAGTCCTTAATAAGAAGACAAAAAGTACGAATATGACGTGCGATGGGTCCCACTTGTTCACTTATTGTCTTATACAATCAAAACTGGATTATTATGATTATTATTAGAGTAGAACCGTTTTGTTAGACTTTCTTTTTATTTTGATAACATACTTTTAATCCAAATCAATAATATTTTTTAAAATTTTTTTAAGTAATTATAAAATATATTAAAATAAGATTTTTTTTATTACTTTACTCATCATTATATTAAATCTCTAGTTTATTTTTTAATATTAATATTTTATCTATTTAATATTTTTACTAAATTTATTAAATTAAGACATAAATTTATGATTTAATTGGAAATACATATATGCAATATTAAAACATTTTCAGCTAATATATATTTTTAAATAAACGAGATTAACATTTAAATTTATTGTAAAATAAAAATTCGTATTTATAAAATTAATTAAATTTATAATATGATAATCAATTTAATAGCATACAAAAAATATTAAAGTATGTATTAAAATTATTTTTTAATTTCAAATAAAGATATATCATATGTAATTAAATGGTAATTATTAAGTAATATTTGTTTTAAAGAAGGGCATTTTGGTCAAAATAACTAACCAACCCTATGATTTAATGGTCAACTAATGGTTGAGTGGATGAAAGTTGAATCTCAAAACTAGAAAGGAGGTTTGTATAACATGTATTTTGAATTTAACAGAAGTTCATAGAGGTTTTCAAAATGAAAAAAAGATCTCTATAGTTTAGATTAAATAGAGGGGAAGATCAATGCATTTTACTCTTATTATTATTGTTGTTGTTGTTTTTGTTATTAGAAGACTTTGATTTGAACAAGTCGGGGCTCCGGTGAAATTATAAGTGACGCAAGAAATGGACGTGTGTGGATTGTGGAGTTTGAAGAATATTATTTTTGAGAATTTGATTAAATACTTTTCTCTGATAGAGTTAATAATGTCTTGACATTTGTGTTCTTCATCACAGTTGGGATGTTCCTCGTTGATGAGGTGTTAAAAATATATATGATAAGAAAAACACACAACTCAGA